TGCAATGACACTCAAATTGCTTATGAATTCGACATGGGGATATTCTATTAAAAAACCTCAAAAGATGAAGAGTAAACACTATGAGAAGGTCGACAACTTTGTTGAAAGGTTCTCCCCTTTTGTTTTGAAATACGAATTTACTCAAGGTCAAGGTGGCTTAGTAACCACAGTAAAACCTATTGTCGAACATTGGTCTTATCCTCAGTTCGCAAAGGCAGTCCTTGACAACTACAATGAGTTCTTCTCCGATGTTAAATCCAAAGTGAAGGTATACTACGAGAACATCGATGCACTCATGACGAACGAAGAAGGCTATAACAAACTCATTGAAATGGGAATGGTCGGTGAAAAGATGGGCCTTTTTAAGCTAGATAAGGTATTTTCCGAAGTTCATGTTCTCTCCAAGCGTAAGTACTGGGCCGTACTTGAAGACGGCACAGAAATAAAACATTGCATGAAATAAAACATTGCATGAAATAAAACATTGCATGAAATAAAAACATTTTTTCAAAAAAATATTTTTTTATTTTATTTGAAATGTACGCCGAGTTTGTTGGAGAAGACCGTTGGGAAACTTGTTTGTTAGATGAGAAATATGAAATTCACTGTTGTGAGTCATTTGAAGTCAGAAAAAAAGAGACAAAAAGAGTTTTAAGCGAATGTGAGCGAAATGACGGATATGCTATGATGAGGATGAGTGGGAAACGCTATTTAAAACATATTGTCATTGCAACTCATTTTATACCGAATCCTAACAATTTACCTTTTGTAGACCATATAAACCGTATAAGAAACGACAATAGACTTGAGAACTTACGTTGGGTCACTTGTTCTGAAAACAATAAGAACAAAGGCAAATTTGGAGATATTGTATTCGAATTTGTCGACGAACTAGAAGATGAAACAATTGAAATTACAGACTATGGCGAGCATACGTTTGAGTTTTACTACTATAGCGAAGAACAAGACTCTTTCTACTTTTATACCGGCGTAAACTATAGGAAATTACAAGTATGTTTTACTAAGGCAGGCTATGCTTATGTAAACACTAGAGATACAGATGGAAAACACGTTCGAATATTTCTTAACAAATTCAAGAAGCTATATGGCATACCATTTTAAAACGTTTTTAAAACAGTATATTTTTACATATATTAAATGCTTCAGGTTGAAAAACAAAGAACAAAAGTAGCAGATACAAAACCGTTAGACTATATCTTTACAAACGCTGGCAGGAATATATCAGATGAAGAAATTTCATCCCAAACATACAGGTTTGACTATCCAATTCGTTGGCTTCAAAGTCCTTCAGATGCAAAGGCAATAGGATTTAGAAGAGTTTTGTTTTCAAATAGAACTAACGCGTTTATGTTCGCAGTATATTTTCACGGTCAGTATAAAGGTTCTGATGGTCTAATAGAAAAATTTGATGAAATGAAAATCTTTACAATTCGTTCAGACGAAAGTCTTGAAAAAACTCTAAATGACTTTCAAACTCAAATAAACAAATACTACTGGGAATTTCAAGAAAAATACCACTCTTTACTAAATGGAACATACTATCTAAAACTAGAATACGACAAGATGAATTCCACCGTTTCATTTCAAAAGATTGAAATTAACCCTCCAAGAGATACAGAGTTTTTATATTGGGGAGTAGACAAACGTTCTTGGGCACAATTTCTTCGGTTACTAAACCAGAACGAACCATTACCACCAGATGGTCCATTTAAATTTATACTCCCACCAACAGATTTGACAGTTTATAGAAACGTGTTCGACCCTCAAAATGTCATGTGTCATGCAAGTTTCAGTTCAAGCAACAACAGTTTTCTTTGTATCGGTAAGGACTTTTATGACTTTGCTTCTAAATTCTACGAACCACCTAGTAACAGTTTCTCTGACTTTCAAGTTTGGTTCACAACAAACGGTGTGCAGCATATAATACCATTGTACTATGACTTTTATCTCGAATTGTCTTTCATATACAACTACGGAAAAGTGCTGAAAAAGTATTGAAAAATATATTTTAGATCTCACCAGGTCCCTCGGTCATTTTAACTTCTCTGAAAAAGTGTGACAACATGACATTTTGACAACAACACAGGAGATAGATTTCATCGTATATGTTTTGTCATGAATTTCATCGTAAATGAGCGTAAATGACCCAAAAATATATTTTAGGTGAAGTGGTGAGATCTCACCTCTTTTCTCACCTGTTTTTTCACCCGTTGAATTTTGTATAAAAAGCAACCGTCGACATTCTGGCGGTTGGTATATTCTTCACAAAATGCTTGTTTTGAGGTCGAGCCACTTTTGGCTCCACCTGTTTTTTCAACCAAAACTCATTTTTTTCGGCAAAAATATATTTTATGTTAGCATGTTAGATCTAACCACTTTTCTAACCACTTTTCTAACATCGTAGAAAACACACAAAACTCTTGAGTTTTATACAGAATTCGGCAAAAATATATTTTATGTTAGCATGTTAGATCTAACACGTTTTCTAACCTCATTTCTAACATCGTAGAAAACTCTCGAAATTCATGAGTTTTGACACTTTCACAAAAAACATTAAAAAAAGTTAGTTTTTTTAAAAAAAATATTTTTTATTTTTATTGTAAGAACATGTTAGCAACAACAGCACCAAACTCGTTAGTCATGAACCCAACATCTATGTTAGTAGAGATGAAAAGCTTCATTCCTTCTTCATATACTTTCGAAACAGAAATCCAGAAGATAAAGCAGGAACTTCTCCAAGGAGATTTAGTGTAGTGCGAAAGATGAAACAAATGAAGAATATCTTTATGAAATGCAGGATATATTGACCATCTACCTAAACTTCCTGAAATACAACAACAAAAGCTTACTATTCCAGAATTCGATGAAATAGAAGTCAAAGCAACTGACTCAGTAGAAACCAAGAAGTTCATACGTAAGGTAAACTATGAGTTTCTTGGATTTCATTGCAACCACAAAGTCATGGACAAAGATTGCGATATGTTATATAAGAACATCTCTGACATATACAAATCTGAAGAATTTAAGACCTACGACAACTTTGTTTCGTTAGTTGCAAAATGTGTATGGCAGATAAGAGATAAAGATAAAAGAGGTAAAGTATGGAACGAACAGATAAAACCAGCAACTTTTGAGTTAAAGAAAACCATTGACGCCTTAGTTGTTCTAGCTGGTTTTATTTCAATGTACAATGCTAAAATGAACCCACAATGTTCAAAATGTAAAGCAGCAATGAGGAAATATAACTACTCCGTCAAAGAGATAGAACGTATGCGAAACGACTATGCAGATTTAAAGAAAGAAGCAGAGAAACCAGCAGAAGATAAAATGGACATGTTGACATTTCTGAACAAAAAACTATCCAACAGCTGACGATTTCCTTCTATCTGATGTCAAGAAGAAATATAAAGAAACATTCGGCATTGTTAAAACTTTTGATATCCTTCGTGAAGAAATAGAAGCTACAAAACTGTTTAAAGTCATGAACCATCGCAAATATACCATGTAAAACGCTTGTAAATAGTTATGTTAGAAAAGAGGTTAGAAAACGTGTTAGATCTAACATGCTAACATAAAATATATTTTTGCTGAGTAAAATGACCAAATTTCATTATATAACTGTTATTTTTGACGAAGAGAACTTTGACACTTCGTAAAAAAAATCCCTGAAATCATATCTTTTATACAAATTCAAGAGGTGAGAAAAGAGGTTAGAAAAACGTGTTAGATCTAACATGCTAACATAAAATATATTTTTGCTGAGTAAAATGACCAAATTTCATGACAAAACATATACGAAGAAGTTTATTTCCTGTGTTGTTGTCAAAAATGTCATGTTGTCACCATTTTCAAAAAGATGTTAGTTGACCGAGGGACGAGGGACCGAGGACCTGGTGACACCTAAAATATATTTTTGCTGAAAAAAAATGACCAAATTTCATGATATAACTGTATTTTTTTGACGAAGAGAACTTTGACACTTCGTAAAAAAAAATCCCTGAAATCGTGAAAAAATGACCAAATTTCATGATATAACTGTATTTTTTTGACGAAGAGAACTTTGACACTTCGTAAAAAATCCCTGAAATCATATCTTTTATACAAGATAAAAAATAGCGTTAGTTTTTATAAAATATTTTTTTTTATTTTGTATGTAAAGACAGATATGACAACAACAGAGAAACACAACAACTGCTATCGTTCATGAAGCCATAAATGAAGAATATGAGTACATACAGTTTAAACAAACAGTTACGTCTCATTCGTTCGGTCAAAGATGACATGTACCAAATGCAAAGTATTTTGACAGCATGTTTTGCTCCAGATACAAGAAACCACAAGACTGGTTTGAATTAAATAGCACTCATGAACTCCTCAGTGAGTTTGAACATGTAGAACTTAAAAAGATGTACCAAGACAGACAAAACTTACCATCGCATCTAAAAGGTATATATGTTCATAAGTCCTAGCTAGTTCAATAGCAATGTGGGCTTCACCTCGTTATGCAATCTACATACTTATGCTACTTGACGAACTTTGTACAAAGCAGAGAGAAGATATGATGAAAGAAGACAAAAACATACAGAAAAGAATACCACGTTCGGTACCAAAAGGAAAGGAAAAGAACTATAAGTATATGATTTACACTGAAGAGATGGAAAATGAAGAAGACAGAGATATGGTTATGTTGCATTTAGTCAGAAGAAACAACAAAAGCTTTTACGACCTTGCTAAGATTTACAAATCTGACAGAAATTGGTTCTATCGCGAAAACTTACCGATTTCAATGACACCGAATGAAGATGTGAAACAGATAGTTCAAGATACGTTACCTCAAACACACTATGATATGAAAGGTTGTACAATACTTACATTCAAAGAAGATTTGCCGCTACTGAAGGAAAAGATAACAGAGTATTTTGACAACTTCAAAGAGGAAGAGTAAATGAACCATTTATTTTTCAAGCTTGACACCAAAGATGGCTCAGGTAGCTCTAGATGGTAAATTGTCTTGTCCGAGTCCTTCTGGCATTCCGAGTCCTTCCATCCGACAGGAAAAAAATTTCCCGACAACTGGAAAAAAATTTCCCGACAACTGGAAAAAAATTTCCCGACAACTGGAAAAAAATTTCCCGACAACTGGAAAAAAATTTCCCGACAACTGGAAAAAAATTTCCTTCCAACTGGAAAAAATTTTCCTTCCAACTGGAAAAAATTTTCCTTCCAACTGGAAAAAATTTTCCTTCCAACTGGAAAAAATTTTCCTTCCAACTGGAAAAAATTTTCCTTCCAACTGGAAAAAATTTTCCTTCCGACAGGAAAAATTTTTCCTGTTGTTCGTCCGTAAACCATTCAAATTTTCGAAAATTGAGAACTTTTTGGCCGACCTTCAGGAAAAATTTTTCTTTCCGACAGGAAAAATTTTTCTTTCCGACAGGAAAAATTTTTCTTTCCGACAGGAAAAGTTTTTCTTTCCGACAGGAAAAGTTTTTCTTTCCGACAGGAAAAGTCCTTCCTTCCGACAGGAAAAGTCCTTCCTTCCGACAGGAAAAGTCCTTCCATCCGACAGGACACAAACGAATGTCCGACATACCACCAACCGAGTCCATTCCAAAGCCAGAAGAACCGACAGCCCCAGCACCACAACAGACTAAGACTCAAACACTTACATTTTTACGCTTGACTTTTTACAATTTGAACTTTGTTCGCGTAGATGTGAATTCTGAAAGAAGTATGAGGGTCTTGTATGACTTTGTACTTCTCCCATAGTTCATGTCTGTCAAACTTACCTGCCATGGACTCTTTCATAAGTTCCATGAAATCGTCTTCGGACAATCCGGGGAAGAGTACAATGTCAGTAAGTATTCTCTTTACATCCTTACTTAAACTCTTTGCTGTCTGTACACAAATGACAACAGAGATGTTAAAGTGTCTGAGCTTCTTAAGAATTCGACACATGTCTTGTTCTCTGTTCTTTAACAAAGGATGAGAAGCAAAGTCATCTAAGATAAGAAGACATCTATGAGGGTAAGTCTTCCAATCGTAAGATTGCAATTTCTTCGAAATGTATTCTATCTCTTTCTGTTTGTTTCTGAAGTGTTTCTTCTCTAATATTCTCTGCATTTCCTCATTTGGGTCTTTAAACTTAGAATTTATATACTCATTTATAGCATTGTACTTCAAAACTCTTCTTTGGTACTTCTTTATCCAATCTAACAACTCAGAGTCTTTTATAGATACTAACTTAGACTTTTTTATAATATCTTTGAACGAATTGACGGTTTGGTCAAATTGACCCGAAGTACTACAAATGACTACTAACTCATAGAATGGGTTCTTCTCATCTAGTTCTTGTTGTTGTGCAGCCATTTTAAGATAAGTGAAAGTCTTACCCGACCCAGGCGGTGCGATTAGACCTGTTATACCATTCTGAGCAAATAAGAACTTGTCATGTATGGGTTTTATCTGAGCATTTTCCAACTTCCTCTTGTTCTTATTTAAAACATTCTCAAATTTCTTGTCAATGTCAGCAAACTTTTTTTCTAACATATTTTTAGAAAAATTAAAATTTTTATCTTTTAGGAAATGTCTAGCGATTTCGCTATCTATATTCGAGACAAGCTTTTCGACAGCAAAACATCTGTCGACCATAAAATCTTACATAGTGTAAACAAGAAAGGTGAATTTGTTCTAAAGTTCTGTTTCTGGGAATATGACAAGAACCATAAAACCTTAAGCAGAGAAGTCTTAAAATTTGTCAATGACAGACTTGTTGACAGAGATGACGCCTCTTGGAGAGATGAAGTCCAACAAAACTTCTTAGAATGCAAAGAAGACACATGCGCTGTTCTTGAAAATGAAATAGAAAACAGAATAGAAGAGCTATTAAATGACAAAGCACTTTTACAAAAATATGGTTCTGAGAAGTTTGACATAACTCCACCAGAGAAGAAGAAGAGAGAAAAGAAAGAAAAGAAAGTAGAAGAAGAGAAGAAAGAACCAGAGCCAGAGAAGGGGAGATATGACATGTAAAAATAAAATTTTATTTTTAGAACATTTCTGGGTCAATGTCAATGTTCTCTTCCTCTTTAGGAGCAAACACTGGCTTAGACTCTAAAATCTTTTTACCCAATTTACCTTGAACTTCAACTATCTTAGACTCATAATATTCATAGTCGTCTGCTTTCTTTGGTTCATAAGGTATAACAAGTTTGTATGCTTTGCCTTCTTTAAGGTTTGAAAACCTTCTGTCAAAACTTTCTTTGACTGTTAACAAACCTTCTATGTCTAAGTCTTCAAATTTCGCACCATTTTTAGTCACAATAGCAAACTTAACTGGTTCGATGTTCCAAACTTTGTCAAATGAAGACTTTTCAAAATGGTAGAAGTAAACATTCAAATATGTGAATGGGTCTAGTTCTTCTTTAAGTCCTGACATGTACTTGTTGACTGAGATGAATTTCGTCATCTTTTCTATCGGATAAAAAAAATATTTTTTTTAAAATTTACTCAGAAAAATTTTTCTTTGTATATACACCATTCTGTACGTCTAAAAGACTTTTGACATTTGCCAAGAATGTTCGTTTAGACGCTGTCATATAACCATACTCTTGACAATACTGTTTATACGAATCGTACAATGACCTTTCATCTAAACACTCAAAGTTAGTCTCATCTATAAACAGTTCATATACACTCTTGTTTGCTTCTAACAATGTTTGTCTCTCTTCGGTATGTGGAATTTGTCTTGGATTGAACTTTGAAATATCTAATGTCATGAAATATGAGAACAAGTGGTTGTAAAAGTCAGATGTCAAAGTTTCTGCTAAGTCGTCAAAATATTCTGTATCTTGCATATGAGCTTCTGACGTTCTGACAACTACATATCTTCTGTCAGAACTTTCTAACTTCATCGGAACGGCGTTGTTTGAAACCATGATGAAATTTGCAACATTTTCACAAACTCTTTGGTCTTTATATTTTCTTTCAACAACTCCAACTTTGTCTGTTATAAGACTCTTCAAAGCATCTGAGTTTAAAACCTTTGTTGTATCTATACTTTGAAGTTCGTTACATACTATAAGTTTCATATTCTCTATTGAAGAGTTAAATTTACCGCAGATGTTTTCTAAGTTTGTCATATTCGGGTTCGAATAGCCCTCTAACAGTTTGCATAAGATATCTGTAAAGAAAGTGTTCTTACCTGTTCCTTGTTTTCCAATTATGATGAGAGCAGTTTCATTTTTAGCACTTGGATGTTGTAAGATGTTTGCAAACCAACATAAGATATACTCATAGACTCTTTCGTTTCCATTGCATATAATTTCTTTGACATGGTCTAACCAAGCTTCTATAACATTTTCTTTCCATTCTACTTGTTCGTATTTATATCCAGTGAAGATAGAATAGAAGTTTGGAGATGGTGTATAAAACTTTATACCACGAACTGAAAAATCTTCTAACTTTGACAATAAGATATCCCAAGCATCTAACATCTTCATACCAACTTGTACGACTTTTATTTTCTTAAGTTTCTGTTTACATTCTTGTTCTGAAACTATTGTCGCTCTTGGTTTGTTAAAGACTACATCCCATTCTTTCATGACATAACATTCTGGGGCAGAGTCGACATAAATGACTAAACGTTTCAAATTCTCGACTGCTTTGTTATAGTCTCGAAATGGACACATATTTCTGAACGCTTGGAAGTCATAAAAATCTGAAACGTCTATTCTGTACATTTTATAAAAATAAAAAAAATATTTTTTTATTCTTGAGCTTGTTGTTGCATTTGTTCCATTTGTTGCATTTGTTGTTCTTGAGCTATTTGTTGTTGAAGTTGTTCTTGTAGTACAATACTTTCACCAGTTGCATCTTCCAATTCGAAACTTTCTGCCGTCATTGACAAATACATAGGACATAAAAGTTTTACAGGAACAAAGTTTGCGTCAACTAAGGTTAAGTTTATGTTTGCTAAAGTGTTTGAGTTCACTAAAGCTGAAAACTCTGCATTCGAATGAACAATAGGCAAACCAGCAGAGAAAGTGTTGTTTATACGCATGAGTATCTTTTGGTCATAGTAGTTTCTGTCGACATTCGAATAGCACTTTGAACCTAAGTTTGAAACAATATATAAAATAGGTGTACTTAAAGTCAATGGAACAGACATTCCTTGTATGACACCTTTTCCTCTTATAGGAAACTGTTGGTAGTAAAAACCAGATATAAGTTTTGTATTATAGCTCATATCGTTTATACTAAACTCAGTCGGACATCCAAACATAATGAAACCTGCTCTAGTTGCAGCACATGTTACATCCGTCCTTAAAGTATTAAATAAGTCAACAAAACCTGTTGGTGGTATATCTGAGTAAGTATCTTCAAAGGAGTATTTTTTACCATTCACAACAATAAAATCTTCTGGTGTCAAAAGAGCAAAACAGGCTTTAGTCGTCATTGTGTTTAAGGTCAGTTTACAATATCGTCCTTGAGGACTTTGTAAGTTTGTTGTTATAGAATTATATGACTCAGGGTTTTTAGTCGTAATAGTATAAACCACTATGTCTTCTGCCATTTACTTAGCAAGTAAATTTTAATGAAATGTTGTGGTCGTCAAATATTTTTATGACGTCTGGGAAACTATATTTTAAGTTCAACGTTTCACCTCCTTTCATAACGTATATCTTGTCAATGACATTATATGAAACACCACAGCAAGCAATGTCAGATTTCTTTGATGTTTATATCGTCTGCCTCTGTCAAAAGTTTCAATAGTTCTTTCAAAATTTCATGAGGTGCGATGACATATGAGTTCACTTTTACAGGGTTGTGTTCGACCAAGTTTAACATTAGACCTAAAGCTTGACAAATCTTCTCCTGAGTTTTAAGTTTGTCTTTAAGTTGTTGGTAGTCGTTTCGAATATCTGCAACAGAACTTAAGTCTCTGCTAACTTCAGGGTATGTTGGTTCTTTTACAGGAACTATTGTTATACCATCTTCGTCTTCGTATGGTTTCCCCACTTCAACATCTCTTCTTTGACATTGACAACAACACTTTGACTGTTTGTTTGAGTTGGTGAATTTAACTTCACATCTGCCATCGCCATTAAACCTTTTGAAACACTCACGCTTCTATTTTCGGAAATGACATTTTACTTAGAATAAAAAGATGGACGTATTTGAGTATCTCTTCGAATTGAAGCAAAACAAAGTTTACACACACAAACAATACAAGTTCATTGACAGAGTAGTTCTTTACACAAACAATGGAAAATGTTATAGAATAGCAGTCTTTGCTGAACCAAAATTTTCATAAGCAAAGAAAGTTGGTATAACCGAGATGGTGAAAGTTCTTGAAGCAGACAAAAATATAACAACAAAACTGACCGATATTTCTAAAGGTAAGTTTATAATACAATATTATATCAAAACTGGCGTACTGTCAATATTTGATGGAGAGAAGTCAGTTCAAGAACAACTTACTGACCTGCTGCCAAAATCTGCTCGATGGAAGCTGTCGTTATGCCAATCTGAGGAGCCCCAGCAGGTTTCATTGAACGAATCTTCAAAAGAGCATCTTCCGTGAAAAGTGCTATTGGTTTTGTAAACTTCTTTGCTTTCAATTCATCTGGACCGTCTCTGTCACCAGTATATTGTATTTGAACTGTACCAACAGTTGAAATACCACCCATAAAGTCTTCTGAGTCAGCAAATGGAATGCCAAGCCAAAAGTTTGAACGGTCTCCATTTGTATATTGAGTGTTTTGACCTCCTGTATGAGTCCATACTTTCACATATGGCATAATAGAACTTTGCATTTCAGGGTTAATGGTTGTTGTGAAGTTGTTGTTAAAGTTCATAGCATCTAATGTCAAGTTGTATGACCTCATATCCTCAACTGTAGAATATTCTTCTCTTGGATAGTATTTGCCATCTATGTTTATATGATATTTAATACCGGGGTTGTAGAAACAAGAATAGTCATTTATAGTTCGTCTGAACAGTACAAACATAGTATCTGCATGTTTCATTGCAGTTGTTAAGGCAATATCTGTTCTTGCACCTGGGTCAGCACTTTGGTTTCCAACTTCACCTGCAAAGTCTTTGACAGATATTTGGTGTATAGGGAACATAAGCGGAACTGCAATATATTTGGCAGCTAAAGCATTTGAAATATCTGGGTCCAACATATAGACTGCAAGTCTGCTTTCTATTCTCTTGCATTCAAATTTTTCGCATGTGAACTTAACTGGGTCCCAAGCAGTTCCAGCAGCATTGAAGTAGTAGTTTACTTCAGTGTTGAGGTTTGAGAAACCAAAGTCTAAGTCAACTTTGTCTTTGCAAAAGTCACAGAACTTGGCTCCACCAGTTCCAGCTACAGTAAGAGTGAATGGGTCTTGTGTTGGTGCAATGACTAAGTTATTTTTGCTTGGAGTAAGTTCGATAGAAATTTTTCCTGCCCAGTTTGGCAAGTATCTTAAAAACCTGAAGATGAGGAAAGATGACAAAGGAACTCTAAGTTTCAATTTTACTTTGGTTACTGCTGCTGCAGTTTGTCCAGAAAGGTCAACATAAACTCCTGGAACGTTAGGGTCAAGTCTTCTTATTTTCTCAATAGTTGCATACTGGTCTGTTTGTTCTCTAGCTTGTGGTTGTACTGAGTTTCTCAAAGCGAACCATTCATAGTTTGCCCATGTTACTGTTTGAACTAAGTCAGAGTTAGAATATATCTTATATCCCATGAAAACTTCTGGAGCATATTGGTATCCGACATAGAAAATTCCATTGCAACCTTTCTTGTCAGACAACTTGGCAGAAGGTTTTATTTCAATGTCTTGTTCCACGTATAAGAAAGAGTTGTCAATAGAAATAATATGAAACCTGTCGCAAGCAATATCTACTGTTGTTGAAGAACCTTCTCCAAACTCACCTACGTTTCCATAAGAAACAGCAGTTGTATATTCGTAAGTTCCAGGAACTATTTCTGACCTTCTAATGGCATTGTCGCATTCGTTATACCATTCGGAAACATTTCCATTCATGGCATCCAAAACTGTTGGCGTTATATTCTGAGCGGCGTACATTTCATATGGGTAAAAATATAGAATAGTTGGATTTATATGTCATAATAGAACCCACGTGGACCAAGCTTTACTTTCTTCCTGACTGAGTTTTTAACTCTTCTTTTTCCTTCATTGCCACTACTTTCACTAGATGAAGTTACTTCTTCACTACTTTCACTTTGTTCTACTCTTCTTCTTTGGTGTCGCTTTGGTAACTTCCTCTGCTTCAAGTTGTTGCATCTTTGCCTCATGTTCATCTAGTATGTTGCAAATATTCCATGTCCTTTTTGCCTTTGGGCTCTGGTCGCCCATCTCAGGTAACCTATATCCTAGAAAGAGTTTGTCATAGTTTGTATTTGAGTCTTCGCGTATTGTTTGCATGACTCTTTCCTGAGTTTCCGGTTCAAGCTCTTCAAACAGTGCCTGTCCATATGGAATATGCTCGTTTCCAAATATATGTTTTTGTAGCCATTCTGGTTTTCTTTCCATGTTACCAACTATATCTTTTGTGAATGGAAAAGCTTTTACCCAATGTTTCAGTCTTGCGTCATTTATTTCTGTAGTTGGTTTTATTTTGTCAAGGAACATGTTTTTCAATACTAACATTTCATTTGGTACTGTCAATTTGAGTTTTCTTAAATATTCATCCCTTCTCAGGTCATTGTCTGCAAAGTAAGTTTTTATGACATTTTGCAAACTTTCGTTTGCAAGGTCATGTACAATAGGTTCTCTTCCTTCTCCCTCCCTAACTTTCTTTCTAAACTCTTCACCAAATATACCATCTCTATGGTTCTGTGTAGTTCTTTGAGATAAATGTTCTAGAACGTCAGGTGTTATATTTCCATCAGCCATGTTCATTTCATACTGGTCCAAAATATCTGCATGTTTCATATCTTTCAATGGCATTAAAGCCGCGCTTAAAATACCAGCTATATCTCGTTCACCATTCAATTCCATTGCGTCTACAACTTCTTGGAATTGTGGTTGTAAGTTTATGAACCACCTATCCGGATTAGCTTTATGACCCCATCTCATTGTAGTTCCATCGTCTGCAGAAACAAAAGTAGGTTTGTTTCCATCTTGGCTAGGTTCTGAATGAACTTTAAACAATGTTTCATTTCTATATGTTTTCTTGAAATTTAACCTTTTATTTTCACCGAGTTCATCCGAAGATTGAACGTTAAATGCTCGTAAGTAAAAAGGGTTGTTGTATTTGTGTACATTTTCTTTCAGTACTTCCATTCTATGCTGAATATTTTCATCTGGTGTTGGAGTCTTTTGTATGTCGGCAAACATTTTTCGATATTCTTCTACTATGTCAGCCGAATTTTTCTTAGACTCTTGGAAATATTCCATATTCTCCGCATACTCTTGTTGAGGGTCAAGATTTTTCGGCTGTTCCAAATCTTCATCTAGTTCTGTGAAGTTAGTTTCCAAAGGAAGGACTTGTTCGTTTCCTTCAGGCTCTTCTAGCTGTTGTTGCTGAACTATTTCTTCCATGTCTGGTTGTATCTGAACTATTTCTTCCATGTCTGGTTGTATCTGAACTTCTTCCTGTGGAGTTTCTTGTACCTTATCTCGTGGCATTTCATATATTCCGAGACGGTTTTTAGCAAATTCCCTATTTAAGTCATCCGCATTCATAAGCCTTTCTTCTTTCGTTCCGTCTCTATTTTTTACGCGTTTTATGAAGAGAGTTGAATCGTCATTTAGCTCTGACATCAAATATCTCGGAGTAAATTCATCCATGTCATTTGGATGATATGCTATTAAATCATATCCCTTAGTGAGCTTGTATTTTCCAGGTTTGAGATTATATCTGATTTGGTGCTGAGTCATAAAGCTAAATAGGTTCGGGTCAGTATTTCCATCCTTGAACTTTCTAATAGCTTCTTTATATCTGTCACTAAAGTCAATACTATCTGGGTAACCATAGTCTTCTTTAAGCATTTTTAAGAATTCTTGGTTTCCTTGTTCTCTACTTCTTTTATGTCCTTGCTCTGTTTGTGGTTGTTGCTGTGCAGGGTTTTGAACTGTTGGTTGTTGTGCTGGTTGTGGAGGTGGTTGTTGTGCTGGTTGTGCAGGGTTTTGAACTGTTGGTTGTTGTGCTGGTTGTGGAGGTGGTTGTTGTGCTGGTTTTGGTGCATGCCTGTGTCTGTGTCCATGTGACGATGTAAATGTTTTAGGTAGTCCTGGTGCAGGTGCTTCTCTTGGAGGGTTTGGTGGTATATAAGTTCCACTAGCTAGTATATAAGTTCCACCAGCTGGTATATAAGTTCCACCAGCTGGCACATATGTTCCATCTGCAGCGTAATGTCCTACCTGACTTTTCGTTTTTAAGAAAGCATTTACTAGGTCTGTTTTGGTCTGTTGTAACTCTTTTTCTTGACTTTTCACAACAGTTGCTCTAACGGCGTCATAGGCACTTTGAACTGCCTGTCTCGTTGCTGCATCTGTTATTTTCGTCATATTTTGTGCTACTTCTTTTAACTCTTTGTCGAAACCTTCAGACTTCAGTTTCTTTCCAGATGAGAAATCGTTCACTTGTTTCACCTTACTATGAAGAGCTTCGAAGGCGTTCTTAAAGTCAGCATTTGTTAAAGCTTCATTTGAACTGTCTTCATCCGCTTGTATTTTTGTCCTTATTGACCCTATGAGTTGGGCTGCTTTAGCGTTGGCTTGGGCATCTAACCAGTCATTGTTAGCTTTTATATATTCTGCGCTTTTCATTGCCTTTTGCATGGCTGCGTCGTTATTTTTACTTTCTTGTGCTAAGTTTTCATACTGTACGGTTTGGTTTTGCAACTGTAAAAGTTTTTCTGCCTTTACAGTTGCTTCAACTTCTTTTTTATACTCATCGCTATCCATATATGTCTTCAGGGCTTTTTGTTTTATCTCTTCATCTTTCAGTACTTTATATCGAGTAGTATGGTTTTTCAAATTTATGACATCTTGTTCCATTTTTGCTACTTCTGCTGCTTTTTCTGACACTTTTTTCGCATATTCCTCTGTACTTAGTTCTTTCAGTTGTTCTTCTTTCTTCTTTTTCTCTACGTTTAACTCATTGAGTTTCTTTGTGTGTCTGTCATATTCTAGTTTCTTTTCGTTTTCACCTATTTGCTTCTGTATGTCTATGTTTGACTTTTTGACATCTGCTATTTGATTTTTGAGTGAACTCAAATTCATTTGACTTTGAGGGTTATATGCTGTTCCGTCTGCAGCTCCACCATAGCCTGCCATTTTCGCTAAAAGTGCCGCTCTTAAACCTCCACTCTGTGCACCAACAACTCGGTTTAAAAGCATAGGATTGCTTGACATTTGTTGCAACATAGTGGGGTCATTCAGCATTTGTTGTTGCAACTGTTGTTGTGGTGTTAGTCTTACTATTGGATGTTTCAATGCTCTCTTCCTCTTACGTATATTCTTACGTATCTTACGTGGCATTTTAAGTGAAGTTAAAAAGCGGTTTTATACTAAACATCTTCGGGGCTAGAGGGCACGAAGTGCCTGGAAGCCCCAATACCTTTTTTTTTTTAATATAAGATAGAGAGATGGATAAAATGCACACATTTGCACACATTTTGACACTTTTTCTGACAAGCATCATTCAAATTTGAAGAAAAACCTCTAAATTTCATTCAAATTCCTGTCAAAATGTGTGCAAAATTGAAATAGGCACACATTTTGACATACAATTATTTATATACGTTATTTTAATGGTTTCAGAGAAATCTTCGTTACACATTATTGAAGATTACTCAATATTTAAGTGAATGACTCACTACCACCTGTTTAGAAAAATGGTAGCATAAAATCCAAATGTCACATATATTATTTCTTATTTCATACAAATAAACTTACAATTATAACCTCAACTTGTTTGCAAAGCAGAAACTCAATATAAGCAATCGATCAGTAGTGTATTTAAAAGTCGAATTTAAATTTAAAAATTTATAATCTTATTTCGGAACCAAATAGTATAAATTTAGGACAAAAAGCTACGTGGTGTTGATAACAACTATTAAAATTCAAATATTACTACCATGAACAATACAATTGCTCATATTGATAATTGATAAACGTGCATATAAATTGCATATATCATCAATGTCATTAAGTAAAATACATGTATATAAATAGATTAGAAATATTTTTCGGTTAGAATTAAAATCTATGTAATAAAAAATAAGTTATAAAAATAAATACCGAATTTTTATTTGTAATATAAACTGCTACAATATGCTAGTGTATACAAATGTATTTGTCGTATTGATTTGAAAGATCTTCAACATGGTTCAGATCTAAATTTGAAACTCGTAAAATAAAGCGAATCTTTATTTGTAATATAAACTGCTACAATATGCTAGTGTGTACAAATGTATAACTCTTTGTCAATTGTCATGGCACCTTATAACTTAAAAATCATTTTCATTAACAAATATAAAAAGTGACAATTAATATTTTCATTAAATGCATATTTAATTATCAAAACAATGTCGATTTAGCTTGAATGTTCATTATAAATGTGTAAGTTTAGGAAAACAAAAAATAATTAATTCTCGCAAAGAAACTTATTTTAAAAGAACCTAAACAAAAGTTCATATAATAATAAATCTAAAAATAGATATTAATTTAAACGAAGATAATGAGAGAATGGGGATGTTGTAAAACAATGAGACTTAATGATCAAATAATTAAAATAATAAAATTAATTAAAGGAAAGCTAAATAGTTTAATGAATTTTTATAGATTGATTACACAATCAATGTTTCTGTGTCAATGTACATCAATCAACATTGTTTCATTGAATTTTGTCTTTCACCAAGAAGATTCAAGAACAAAGTTTTGTAGTTTCAATAGATTGATTACACAATCAATGTTTCTGTGTCAATGTACATCAATCAACATTGTTTCATTGAATTTTGTCTTTCACCAAGAAGATTCAAGAACAAGTTTTCCTCTTTTTCTTTTTTAAATGATTAAAATATTACCTTGCTTCAACTTTACACGTTTTCGTTTACTAAAATTATCTTTTACCTTCAGTTATCTTATCATACCCAATTATTCATTTAATTCTATATTTTTCTGACCAAAAATCCTCTCAAATCTCCCTTCTTCTTTCAAAAATTCTATGAGTTTATTCAAATTTCCTTTAAATCTTTGCTAGTCCTTCTATAAGATTCATTCTAAAATTTTTGAACAAATTTAAAATTTGCTAAATATATTCTTTATTACTTTGCACTATTTTCCAATTGAAAAATCGTCGATTTTAATCAAATGTAAGATCATCATAATAAAAATTATGAAACTTACCGTGTTTATTAGTAAATTTCAATATGAAGTTGTTATACAAACAGCTGGGACTTTAAATTGAGAAATTGCATAATTCCATCTACAAATTTTGGTCTATACAATAATCTTTGATAAATTATAATATATGTATTATGTGTATTTACATTGCATATATAACAATTTCAATTTCTATATTAAATTGTTATTTGATATCAGCTATATTTGTTCAGGTAAAATGAAGTGTAAAAATATAATTCATGAATTACATATATATATATATTTTTATTATTAAAATCAAATTCAGATTTATAAATTAAGGTTATTCATTTTTGATATGGTTATCACGCTCAAATATGGAGATAAAATTAAAAAAGTCAATACTCCTCAAGAAATACATTGTCTATCATTATATCTATATGCTTCCAAAGTATTTCATCTTAAACTAAAGACTTTTATATTACAAAAAGATTCAAAGAAGATACAATTGTTTAATTATGTTAAACATTATTCAGATATGACAATTGAAATAAAAGAGTCAAAAAAGCCTCTAAACTATTTGACAATTCAATAATTTCTTCAACTAAACTATCAAATTTGGAGGATTTAATAAAATGTGGATATGATATGGATATTTCACAAATTGCATTGTTTTCAGCCAGAAATGACATTGATACTGCTATGAAAATACTGAACATGGATTCAATCGAAAAATATGGATATGAACTTAATTGCTTATTAAAACAAGTAAGAGAATTTAGAAGAAGTGATATAAAAGGTCAAATGATTGCAATAAGGACAGATAGCAATGGTAAAAAATACACAGAAGTATTAGCAGAAGGGATTTTTAAAGCAGATAGCGATGTTGAATCAAGTGATGATTCATATGATATCATTGAAGATGTAAAATCAGATAAAATTAAATCAGGAAACGCGCTTAATATTAATGATATAATTGGCAATAGGAATCCAAATATTAATGGAGAAACGATTAATAGCCATTCAAATATTAATCAAAACATTAATGAAAGAAATTCAAATATTGATGGGGAAACGATTAATAACCATTCAAATATTAATCAAAACATTAATGAAAGAAATTCAAATATTAATGATGAAATTACTGACGGTCATCAAAATATTAATGGACGCATATTGAAACCAAAATCAAATAATAATAAATCTCGGCAAGCAATCCTCAAATTACCTCCTAATTTTATACAAGTAAATAGAGTAAACATCCAAGTTCCTCCAGCGCCAGCTCTTCCTCAACAGATACAACAACAATCTCTTCCAGCTCAGACTCTTCCTCAATAGATACAACAACAATCTCTTCCAACTCAGGCTCTTCCTAAACAACAACCACATATAACTGATAATTTATCTTTTGATAACTTTATTAACCCTCAAATTATTATTGATAATGCAAAAGTATATCAAAGTATTTCCGACAAAAGGAGTCAATATAATCTTTCCAAAACCATTTGCGAACAATGTGTTGCAAACTACAATATATTGAACAAAGATGATAAAGAAGCCCAGAGAATAAAAATTGGTGATATTTTACGTACTTATCATACATTTAGTATATCTGACTCTGACAAACTTGCCTATAGGAAAACGATATATCCTCAAGGTATTCCATTACGATTTGAACGTTATTATTGCAAGAATGATCATTTAGAGTTACACTATTATTGTGCCAAACGAAAAAATGTGGTTATTCACAAATTATATCATTATTTCCAGCTGGTTCGAATATAAAAGCGTCAATCCACAAAATAAATCCTCCACACAACTGCTCCAAATCGAAATATTCGATTGAAATCAATGGAACACATCAAATCAGGTATGAATTCGAATCAATGATATCAACTTATATTTAAAATAATTCATTGTTATCACTAGCTGAAGCTCGACAATATTCAAATCAACTCATATTTGAATACAATTCTTCACATGATGATACTATTGATATTTCACCTCAAACAATAGCAAAGCTATACTACGAGATCAGGCCTAAAATCAAACTAAGCGAAAATGAATTAATTAAGAAGTTATTAGAAAAGTATAACAGCACAGATTATTATATAACCCAATATTACTCAAGTTCAGATGATACTAACTATTATTTCTTCGGGTTGCCAGCTTTTATAAAAAGAGCTAAAACTTGCAACCATCTTTTCATAGATGGAACACTTCGTATCGTTCCAATTAAGTTAGCAAATGGGCAGCTCTTAAATCTTTTAGTATACAATGAAGCTACAAATTTATATTTACCTTTCCTTCATGTACTAATGACAGGAAGATCATCACTTAACTATGATACAGTTTTTAATTTAATGATCACATGTCCTCTTATTAGTATATCATTGGGAAAATATAAAATCATTACATCAGATTTTGAGAATGCATTAATGAAATCAATCAAATCTAAAGTCAATGATGAAACTACGGTCACTAGTTGTATATTTCATTATATATAGCAGCTCTTGTTAAAAATTTCAAAAAGTTATGTGATGAAAACGATGTTTGCGCAAAATCACTTTTAAAACTATTATGTGCATGTCCTTTTGTTCCAATAGAAGTTTTTGAAATAATTTGCAAAAAATTAGATGCGATTAAAGAAATAAATGATTTTGCAAAATATTTCTTAAATACATGGGGTAAAAAGTATGATGTAATTAACAAGCTGAAAGTATCTGATATGATCTTTTCCAATAATGGAGTTGAGTCATTTAACAAAGTGTTAAACTCTCATATTGCATTCCCACATCCAACTATTTATCATATGATTTACATCCTATTGAAAGTTGATAAGGTATATTTTCATCGATATGCAAGGCAGCAAAATGACAATTTTGATCATAAAAAATCGTATTTTATACCATTGACAAGAATTCAACAAGATTTAGATGTATTCACATCTAATTTTGGATTAGAACGTGCAGAAATATCAAGTGAAATAATCAAAAAACATAAAAATCATTTTGATTTGGAGAGGCCGATTATCGAGATATAGAAATTGAAAAATATCTGAATAAAAATGATGAGCAGTTTTCAAATTCTGTTACAATTAAATTAGAAGAATCCGATGATATAAATATCAATGAATTTGAAATTACAGAAGATGATATTTTTGGAAATGAGATTAATTAATTTATGACAAATCATTTAGAATAAAAAATTATTTTATAAGAATTTGAAAATTAATAATAGGGAAATAGGAACAGTAATATATAAGTATATATGAAGACAAAAATTCAATGAAACAATGTTGATTGATGTACATTGACACAGAAACATTGATTGTGTAATCAATCTATTGAAACTACAAAACTTTGTTCTTGAATCTTCTTGGTGAAAGACAAAATTCAATGAAACAATGTTGATTGATGTACATTGACACAGAAACATTGATTGTGTAATCAATCTATTGAAACTACAAAACTTTGTTCTTGAATCTTCTTGGTGAAAGACAAAATTCAATGAAACAATGTTGATTGATGTACATTGACACAGAAACATTGATTGTGTAATCAATCTATTGAAACTACAAAACTTTGTTCTTGAATCTTCTTGGTGAAAGACAAAATTCAATGAAACAATGTTGATTGATGTACATTGACACAGAAACATTGATTGTGTAATCAATCTATTGAAACTACAAAACTTTGTTCTTGAATCTTCTTGGTGAAAGACAAAATTCAATGAAACAATGTTGATTGATGTACATTGACACAGAAACATTGATTGTGTAATCAATCTATTGAAACTACAAAACTTTGTTCTTGAATCTTCTTGGTGAAAGACAAAATTCAATGAAACAATGTTGATTGATGTACATTGACACAGAAACATTGATTGTGTAATCAATCTATTGAAACTACAAAACTTTGTTCTTGAATCTTCTTGGTGAAAGACAAAATTCAATGAAACAATGTTGATTGATGTACATTGACACAGAAACATTGATTGTGTAATCAATCTATTGAAACTACAAAACTTTGTTCTTGAATCTTCTTGGTGAAAGACAAAATTCAATGAAACAATGTTGATTGATGTACATTGACACAGAAACATTGATTGTGTAATCAATCTATTGAAACTACAAAACTTTGTTCTTGAATCTTCTTGGTGAAAGACAAAATTCAATGAAACAATGTTGATTGATGTACATTGACACAGAAACATTGATTGTGTAATCAATCTATAAAAATTCATTAAACTATTTAGCTTTCCTTTAATTAATTTTATTATTTTAATTATTTGATCATTAAGTCTCATTGTTTTACAACATCCCCATTCTCTCATTATCTTCGTTTAAATTAATATCTATTTTTAGATTTATTATTATATGAACTTTTGTTTAGGTTCTTTTAAAATAAGTTTCTTTGCGAGAATTAATTATTTTTTGTTTTCCTAAACTTACACATTTATAATGAACATTCAAGCTAAATCGACATTGTTTTGATAATTAAATATGCATTTAATGAAAATATTAATTGTCACTTTTTATATTTGTTAATGAAAATGATTTTTAAGTTATAAGGTGCCATGACAATTGACAAAGAGTTATACATTTGTACACACTAGCATATTGTAGCAGTTTATATTACAAATAAAGATTCGCTTTATTTTACGAGTTTCAAATTTAGATCTGAACCATGTTGAAGATCTTTCAAATCAATACGACAAATACATTTGTATACACTAGCATATTGTAGCAGTTTATATTACAAATAAAAATTCGGTATTTATTTTATAACTTATTTTTTTATTACATAGATTTTAATTCTAACCGAAAAATATTTCTAATCTATTTATATACATGTATTTTACTTAATGACATTGATGATATATGCAATTTATATGCACGTTTATCAATTATCAATATGAGCAATTGTATTGTTCATGGTAGTAATATTTGAATTTTAATAGTTGTTATCAACACCACGTAGCTTTTTGTCCTAAATTTATACTATTTGGTTCCGAAATAAGATTATAAATTTTTAAATTTAAATTCGACTTTTAAATACACTACTGATCGATTGCTTATATTGAGTTTTCTGCTTTGCAAACAAGTTGAGGTTATAATTGTAAGTTTATTTGTATGAAATAAGAAATAATATATGTGACATTTGGATTTTATGCTACCATTTTTCTAAACAGGTGGTAGTGAGTCATTCACTTAAATATTGAGTAATCTTCAATAATGTGTAACGAAGATTTCTCTGAAACCATTAAAATAACGTATATAAATAATTGTATGTCAAAATGTGTGCCTATTTCAATTTTGCACACATTTTGACAGGAATTTGAATGAAATTTAGAGGTTTTTCTTCAAATTTGAATGATGCTTGTCAGAAAAAGTGTCAAAATGTGTGCTATGTTTTTTTTCTCTAAGATAGATAGAGTATGAATATTTATATGAAAAAGTAAATATAGAGTATATTGGAAGAGTTTTAAAAGGAATTTGAAATTTATGATTTATTAATAAAGAGTATGTCAAGAAAGAAGTTTACAAATGCAGGGTAAAGGAACAATACCCTGCATTTGTAAACTCCTTTCTTGAATTTAAATTTCGATGTGACATTCTTAGGAAAAAGTGCTAGATATTCAAGAAAGGAGTTTACAAATGCAGGGTAAAGGAACAATACCCTACATTTGTAAACTCCTTTCTTGAATTAAAATTCACTGAATCACATTCAAGTGAAAAAGTGCACGCTTTTCCCATTCTGCACATATAGGCGCAGGGTGCCAGTGATAGACCCTGCATATATATGTGCAGAATGGGAAAAGTGTCTGACACATTCACATCGAAGAACAAAAGTCGAAACAACATAATTATAAACACATATGGAGTCGACACTAAACTATTTGTCACTTTTTGAGGAACCGGTGACCTTTTTTTAAGATTTGAGGGATTAATGGTTTTGTATGGAGAAATATATTGCTTTTCATAATTTGATAGTGGGTATAATTAGTGTGGCTTGTGTGGAAATGTTTTATAATGAAATGGAAGAATTTGAATAGAAATGTGATTTAATTTATTGAATTATTATGTGAATATTGGAATATATTCAATTATAGGTTAGGGAATTATTATTTGAATAGGGTAGATTGATATTTGATGAGCTTAATTGAAATAAAAGTTATTTTAACTTGAGATATTTATGAAATATAATTAGTAAGCTAGTGGAAGTGGTTGATAGAAGGGTTATGATTTATCTATGCCGGACATATTGTGGAAACAATATTATGTATTAAAATCAATGATTTAAGAAAAAATATTAGAAAATTATAAATAAAAAAGTTTTGAGGATATCAATGAAGTCGGAGTGGTGTGTTGGTACAGATTATGAGCTAAATGAGACGAAAAGAAGAGAATTAAGAAAGAAATAATTGAATTGAGTATTCAATAATTTTGGAGGTGTTTTTTTTAATTAAATAAAAGGGAAAATAATGTTATGAATATATTCCCATATCTTCAGAATTAAAAATATAATTTTCAATGCAATCTGCAATGTAATATGAGTTTCTGTTTTTTTCAATTGCTATAGAAAATAGCTCATGGTTCAAATTCTCGCAAATTTCTTTGTAATTTAGTAATTTTGAAATAAGGCACCATAAATTGAGATTATTAAGTGTTTCATTATTCGCAATAATTAAATCTAATATTTTGTCAAATAAGTTACTCAGTAAAATCTCGAAATCTTCTTCTTTTGAAAATGAATTTAAAATTAATAATAAATATTCATCATTTGGATTGTCAATGAATTCTTGAACTAATTCAAAGTTAATTCCTACTCTTTCCTCTGAATCACCAGTAACTCTTTCCTTTATTTCTGCTTCAATAAATTTGTAATCTTCCTCCATCAAATTGTGAAAAAATCGTCTTTCCTTCAAATAATTTTATTTATAAAGATATCTTAAAATTGTTAATGATATTATTTTAATGCTTATATTTTTTGTAAAAAAAATTCAAAACTTATTCTCAAATTTAATGAACTTTAATAATATAATATTCTTTCAATATTATTCATCTAGATTTCTCTATTAACACTATTTAAATCTTTGAATACTCTTCAAAAAATCAAAAACTATTCAAAATAAACGTAACTATATGATTAATATGTATTACCAATTATATTAATCTAAATGCAATATCGCATAAAATTTATTCCAAAATTAAAAAAATACAAAATGAATTTTTGAAAAGTGACATAATGAAAAGTGACATGATGAAAAGTGACACGTTCATCTATGGATAAAATGGAAATTCTTTCCATTACAGCTGATAGATATTATCGAAAAAGATTAGAATATCTAATAAAATACAAAACAGATGATAAAGAAGGAGAAGAATGGTTCCCAGCAAAAAAATTCAAAGATGAAAATAATAAAAAAATTATTGCTTCTTATGAGCAAAAGAAGGTTTCTATTATTGGACTTGCAAGTGTGGATGATGATATAATAACTTGGCACATAAAAAAAATCAACGAGCTGAAATTGTTGAAACTGATTATTTAAAAAGAAATTATCCGGAAAAATTAATTGATTTTCTACTAAAAAATCTTCATGTTATTCGAGATCCTCCACAGGATATTCATACTGATCCTGAATCAGAAACAGAGGCAGACAAATTAGAGATAGAAGAAGCAATGAATGCAGCTACAAATTAATTACTTTTTTTACTAAAAATTATTTTTTTAATACATTTTTCATATCTTTTGTATTTTTTACTTAAATAAGAAACAATGCATAAATATGTGATGATTACAGCATATCCCAATATGTTTCCAATTCCAATTTTTTTTAATTTCAAAATTTGAATAAAAAAATCCTGAATTTGAACATCCTTTTTAATTATTTGAGCGATTTGGGACAGAAAACTGAATTTATTAACACGGCAAATAGTTTTGATTATCAGTTTTGTTCATAGTTTTTGTACTAAATCGGATTTTAATCACAAATCAGCATGATAGTTTTTAATTTGGAAAGCGTTGTTAGTAAATTTACTATCCAAAACATATTAAATATATTGTTTTCATGAATTCTTAATGTATTTTCATTCGCTATTGTTTGCAATATATAAAATAAAATTTAATTAGTTGACGTCATCAATTGAAAAATTGATATATTTATTTGGTTTACACGGAATATATAAAAAACACAATTTTCCTAAAAAACAATGAAATTACAAAAATACTATTATACATATCCTATAGATTAGGTCTAACATTGTTGATTTTATTTACGTTTTATTATAATTTTTTATTTCATTCATTCATAACATATCATTATATGCAATTATAATTGCAACTCGATATGAAAATATAAATTCCTTTCTCAATTTTGTGAAATGGTGACAAAAAAATTGAATAATATCATCAAATTCAAAACTCTCACAATATGATTTCATTATTTTAATGGAGCAAATTCATTGCATACCATTCGAAATAATATTGCATGTTGAAGAGAGGGATCCTCAAGGCAATATTTCTAGATTATTTCAAAATATTTCGGATAATTTGCCAAATAAATCAAAAAAACAATCCACATCAAGAAAGACATATATTAAACCTATTAACAAAGATTTTACATGTCAATGTTTTGATAATTTAACTTTTGATACAATTTCCCAAGCTGAAATTCATATTTTGAAGGAAACATTTATTAATGGCCGGTCATTAAGTTATTTACCAAATTACAAAGAATTTTACTGTACTCACTGTCAAAAACATTGCGTAAAATTATTTGAGATAAATGGGAAAATACATTCAAAATTTGAATGTGAGCACACTTGTGGTGGTAATCAAACGCTTCCATACCAATTATTAGATTTAACTGTGGTTAAATATGGTACAAAACAAATTTCTGGTAATCCGGCACCTTTTTATCAAGATGTCAAAGATTTTTTAACGATTCCCGAATTATCAGAAAAAACAATTGAAAATTCATACAATAGAATGTTTGAAAATTTCAAAATTGATAAAATTAAGAAATTTTCTAAGCTCATTGGAATTTTTGAGCAAATTTCAATGAAAGGAGGTTCAATGTATCTCAAAATTGACAATAAAATTTATGATTCATATGATTCATTACCATCAGATATGGAAAAATGTTATTTGGAATCATGTGCGATAATTCCGCCAACAACCGAAATTTTAATAAATCGCGATTTGAACGATAAATTTCGATTTTTTTAAAAAATCCCGATTCGGGAAAAATTGCGACTTTTTGAAAAATCGCGAACTTTCAAAAAAATCACGTCCTTAATTTTGGTCTTTTTCGGAGTGATAAGTCGTCCTTTAAGTAATATTTTTTTTCTCGAATTGCTAATTGAAAAATTAAATTCGAGAAAAGAGATTACAATAGTATTGTATGGACTAAAATCCTACTACTATAACACTTTTTTGTGAAAATCAAATTGAAAAAATTATTCTTATATTTACTTATACTATAGGGCACATTCATTGGTTATGAAAATCACATAGTATGAATACTCAATCCCAAATATCTTAAAAAATATTCTAAAATATTAGACTCGATTTTAGCAATTGTATTCTAATCATAATATAATGCCCGAGTATATAAATAGAACAAATATTAGTAAATTCAATTTTTTTCAGATCGCAAATTATCTAATACAAATATTCATAAAAATCACATTCAGTATATTTGCATTCAATGTCAAATATAATAGCTATCTAATACTTTCGAAAAATTGAGCTATTGAATATTTTATAAAATTTCTGGTCCAAAAATTGTGCTTTCACAATATTTTGATGATATCTATAATAATTAGACTACAAATATAAATTGTATAATAAAAAATCAAAATTTGCTTTTGATATCTCAAATCTCGATATGAGATATTCAATGTCAAATCAAAGTATTCATAATTAACAGATTTGTATCGTGAATGCTTTCGTTTTGCTTAATACACAATTATGCATGACAAGTGTGTGGCTACACAATTCTTTCCGTCCGAAGCGGAGAATTGTGAAGTTTACGCCGCATTTCACGGATAATATAATGGAAAAATGATTTTCATGGAATACTATTTTTATTAATAGCTTAATAAATGAGCGAGTCTGATAGATATATGTTACGCAAGATATATCCATAGAGAAGTGTTTAAGTATAAAACAATGCGTTATACGTTATATGTAGGATATAGATGGTTTTTCTCCATTGAGAATTTTGTCATGTGAAAATGCTCTTTTTTAGCTATGATAAAAATACTTTTTATATACTATTATATCTCAGTTGATATTGATTCAACATTCTTATTTCACATGATAATATAATAGTATATGTAGCGAGGTATTATATTCTCTTGTGATTTCGATCTATTAATGCTCACACAAAAACTTCGCTACATCAAAATTTCCTCGGAAAATTTCACTTTTGCTGCTTTGATTCAACTTTGATGTCCAATGAATATTCAATAAAACTCGAAACTCTGATCATGGAGATCTATCATCACATATATAATTATATTGCTTAAATATGTGTATAAATTGTATTTTGGATTTTTCGGATTAAAAAAGGTTAAAGTGTCATATTGATATAATTCACATTTTTGATTTCGTTACTTAGAAATGAGAATTGGTCAATAATTTATTATCCATTTGTAATTATAAAGTGTTTTAATGTATTGTGAGTTCATTTAATTAGGTTTAACTATAATATAAAAATGTTGTGCATGAAAAATAGCATGACTTCACTTTTGACAAAAAGTGACACCATTTCTCATGGTTTTGTCATTTATTTGTCAGATTTATAAATGGATAATAATGCTGTAAATCAGATATTAATTAAAAATATTTAAGATTTATGTTCGAATTGAAAAGCAAAATGATATTTTTTTTAATTGAAAAACGTTAATATCTGATATTTTGAAGTTTTTAATATTTGTTAGTATCTTAAATTATTGAATGCATACGTTTTTTATGTTCTCAATTTTAAAAAAATTGTGAAGAATTTAGTTTTTTGGAGATGGATGTTTAATATTTGTGAGTGAGAATGCAAGCAGGAGTTTGGTACTTTAAGGCTAGGTTGAGATAGATTTCCCATTATATTATCTGTGAATATATTGTTTGAAAATTCAAGATATAAAAATATATTATCAAAAAATTTTATATTTTTAAATACAATAGGGTGGAAGTATAGTACGATGAGATAGCAATGATATATTTTATAATGGGAGGTAATCTGAAGATAAGTAGCAAATTTTATGCGATTTTGATTGGGAGTTGGAGGGTGTGAGTACTATAGCATGTAATAGTATCTCACACCCTCCAATTCTTCCTATGGCGCCGAAAAATTTTTGGTGAAATGCGACGACATTTCACCAAAAATTTTCGGCGCCATATAGAGAACTATAGTCTGCGAGGTACTGATTCTATCTATGTACCTCGCAGACCATAGTTCTCAGCCAAAATGGCTAATAATTTGAGAGTCTATATGATAATGTAAAAGTTAAAACATTCAAGTATTTAAGTATTTCTTTAAAATATTAAGTTTTTTATTTTTCCAATAAAATTCTAATATCAAATATTTTTATTTAACGATTAATTTTATTTATATTTTTATAGTTTTGTTTTAAGAAAAAATATTGTTAGGGTTTTATGGATTTTCAATTAATATACAAGATAATTCATGAATGTATATATTTCCAAGTTTTTAAGGACGCAACACTTTACATTTGTAAACTGTCAAAAATGAAGTCACGCTATTTTTCATGCATTACAAAATTCTTTAAAACATTTAAATTTATCTTGTTATCATATTCCTATACATATTTTTTCTGTTATATTCTATCTTTATTAATACTTTTCGTGACGCCAGCCCTCTGAAATTTATTCTCGTGACACCGTAAACTTCTCAAAAATAAATGTTAAATTCTCGAAAATAAACTATAATATAAAAATAAATAATCACAATAATAAGTATTCAATTAAAAATGAGTATATTCAGAGATAATGCAGGTTCTTTTAGTTATTATTTAGGAGGTTTTATTTAGTTAACAACAAATTAAAATAAATATATTAAGGAATGTGTATCAACAATTTTAACATTAATGGAGGTAGATCAACAATATTAATAATGGGAGTGGGTCAATAATTCAAATACTGGAAATGGCTTAACAATGTTTATTATGGATATGGTTCAACAATGTTTATTATGGAGCTGGATCAACAATGCAATTAATGGAGGCAAATTAACAACATCAATAATAGTAGTGGATAAGCAACTCAAATACTGGAAATGAATCAACAATGTTAGTGATGGAAGTGGATCAACAATGTAATTATTGGAAGTGTATCAATGTTAGTAATGATTGTCAAAATTAGTTTGAAATGTATTAACAAATGAGATGTCAAACCGCAAACTGTTGTCATATTTCAAACAAATTTTGACAATCATTACTAATATTGCTTTTATTACAATTATTTCAATAATATCCAATAATATCTTTCAGGTGAACAAAAATAAAATATCCAATCAATTCATATCCTGTCAAACTGCAAACCACTGTCACTTTTCAATCATTTTTGACATTAGCAAATATTAAAAAAATATTTTTATTATTTAATATTTTTTATGTTGAATAAAAATTATATTAATATAAAAGATATTTTTTTACTCAATATAAGTTGGCGCTATCACTCTCTGAAGCTGAATCTGTGTAATTATATGCATCTGTTGTTTCATCCATGCTGTCTAAGTCAAGGAAATCCCATTTTTCTGCGCCTTTACGAAGTGGCCTCCTGTACAAGAGTTTGTTTGTCAAGCCAGCGCACATGCCAAATGTTTTGTGATAAAAAGTGAGATCATCATCAACATGTAAGGGCCACTTTCCTCCAATTACTCTCCAATATTGTTTGAGCCCGGAGAAGTAATTTTCAACAATTATTCTGCTGCTTGACAATTTTTTATTGAATGTCTTCTGCTCAGCAGTTAATTCGCTATTTTTTCTGCGCTTGTATGGAATTAATGCCCATGGAATAATTTGATGAATTCCTTGATAGCCAGAGTCTGCCAAAAGGACTGGTATTTGATCGATTTCTGCTTTCATCTTATCTGCTTCTGCTTTTAATTTGCTTATCAATGTGAAAAAACCAGAATTTTCGAAAAAGTGACACCAACTATTAAAGTTATTTTATTACTAGATTTATTTACAAATTATAAGATAATATCATTAACAAAATATATTTTTAATATAAATAAAAAACTTTTTTTATACAAAAAATTACAATCAATCGATAAATATTATAAAACATTTATTCCAAAAAGATTAAGTAATAGGTGGGATCCTGCATATAATATAATTTTATGTCATAAAGCTTACAAATTTTAGATGGACCACAGTGAGAATGTGAGTGGTTAATTTAAAGGTGGTCTGATAAAGATATCGAAGCTTACTCAACACAGCATGAAGCAGTTTCTAATACACAATCTTACTAGTGGTGTTTCGGTCGCCAGCGCTCTCATAGGGGTGCTGATTTCAAAAACCACTACTTCAAATTATTCAACAATACTCAATGCAGCATGAAGCAGCTACTACTGCTGTATCTTACTGGTAGTGTTTTGGTCGTTGGCTCTTGCACAGTCTCTCAGATTTTCAAATTTTTTTTCAACACTATCTTGTTTCGCTCTCAGAAAGCTATCCTACAAAGACATCGAAGCTTACTCAACACAGCATGAAGCAGTTTCTAATACACAATCTTACTAGTGGTGTTTCGGTCGCCAGTGCTCTCATAGGGGTGCTGATTTCAAAAACCACTACTTCAAATTATTCAACAATACTCAATGCAGCATGAAGCAGTTTCTAATAAATATATACATATATAAATATATACATATATAAATATATACATATATAAATATATACATATATAAATATATACATATATAAATATATAAATATATACATATATAAATATATACATATATAAATATATACATATATAAATATATACATATATAAATATATACATATATAAATATATACATATATAAATATATACATATATAAATATATACATATATAAATATATACATATATAAATATATACATATATAAATATATACATATATAAATATATACATATATAAATATATACATATATAAATATATACATATATAAATATATACATATATAAATATATACATATATAAATATATAAATATATACATATATAAATATATACATATATAAATATATACATATATAAATATATACATATATAAATATATACATATATAAATATATACATATATAAATATATACATATATAAATATATACATATATAAATATATACATATATAAATATATACATATATAAATATATTGTTTCGTACCGAAATGGCTAACAAAAAAGTGACAGAAAACCTTAAATTGCGCGGCAATTTTAATTAAAAAATAAACATTAATTTTTGTGATTGATATCATGCATTTTATTTATATTATATAAGATTTAAATTTAGGGGAAAAATTGGAAAAAAAATAAGATTGGAAGTCTTTAGGTAAGAAGGAAAGGGCAAGAGATATATAGTGTACCTATATACCTCTTGCCCTTTCATTCTAAGTAGAAATGGGAGAAACTTTGTCCGCATCATAAGTTATGCGGACAAAGTTTCTCCGATTTCTAATGGGAATTGCAGGCTATGAGGCACTGATATATAATCAGTACCTCATAGCCTACAATTCCCCTTATTAGACTTCCAAACTTTGAGTTAATGTTAAGACATTAACTCAAAGTTTGGAAAACTTCTCGTAAGAATCAATCGTCAAAACCTCGATTGCAGTTATATTTTCATTGTGTTAAATTTGATTTATTTTGAAATTTTATAAATTAAATTTTATATAACATAAAGCGTTATGAATTAGTATTTCCATATGAATTTTATCTCGAAAATAGTAATTCTGTACAGTTATATTTCGGTTAATTTTGGAAATTTCTAGGAATACTTTAAGATAGTATGATTATATATAACTCTGCCTTCATGATTTATTTTAGCTTTCGCGCAAATATCAGTTAACTTAACTCCATTATTTGATTTTGTGATGGCTTCACAAAGCCAATCAATATCAATCTCTTCTGGAAAATGTCTTCTCATCTAGAATATTTTCAATACTTTACATACAAACATTTTTATTTCTAAAAAACTTTTTAATTTTTTCTAGGATATATGAATGAAAATAGTTAGAACAAGATTTTGAAGCTCAAAACATTAAAAATTATTAAAGATTTGTATAATATGATTAAAAATGGGAAATAATATGAGGCAATATAAAGGAATATGAATATTAAATAAATATATCTAAATAGAAAGAATCAGAAAAATCAAATTATTGGCGCCAAAAATGTCACCTTTTTGGTGAGCCATTTCGGTATGATATATATATATAAATATATAAATAACAAAATATAATCAAAAAATAGTGTTTGGAAATTTAAGGTTAAGTGTCACTTTTCTACTGTCACTTTTTCGTAAATTCTACCACACTCGAGTCTGCCAAAAGGACTGGTATTTGATCGATTTCTGCTTTCATCTTATCTGCTTCTGCTTTTAATTTGCTTATCAATGTGTTGGATTTCCTAAACAAATGAAAATCATGTCTCTTTCCTCTGATTGGTGTGGAATAATGTAAAAGAAATCCTTTTGGGCTTACAAAGCACTGAGTTTTGATGCAGTATATTTTATGTTTGCCTGAATAATATTTTTCTTGATTGGCACTTCTGGGTATCTCTTGAACTGTGGCATCAAGTGCTCCCAACATATAAGGATATTCTTTTGATTTTTCGCGATCATCCCATTTAATAAATGATCGCCATTTCACATATTCTCGGCCGATTTTAGAACCAATTGCATCGATCACATCAATGATAATTTGCCTTGTGTGTGTCTTTTTGATACCGAATTTATCGGCCAATTCTTCGAATCCAGGAGCGTGTTTAAGTCATGTTAATGTAATTAATAAACGTGCTTCCATTGAAACCCTAGTATTCTTATAATGATGTAATTCAATTGAAGGGATGAAAAGTCTTATAAGATCTCGAAAATCTTTGCACGTAAGATTTGTTAATTTAATTAATGTATTATTATCGTCATTGTGTAAAATTTCTTCTATTCTTATTTTAAGTGGTTCTTTTTGTTTTTTTTTGGAGGATCTGGAATTATTGGAGCGTCAGCAAAAGTGGCGATGTAATCGATTTCCCTTTGAGCAAAAAATGCTATTGGATCATCTGTATCTTGAAGTGGTTCAGAATTTGGTACGGGCGTGGTATTTTGATGTTGTGAAATACTCTGTGCAGGCGCAGTATTCTGATGTGATGAATGACTTTATACAGGCGTAGTACTTGGAGCTTGAGTCCTCTGTGATGCTGATTGAGCAGCTCTTTGGCTTGAGGACGAATGACCTTTTTTCTTATTCATAAATGAAGTGAAATGCTCTTTCTTGAAAATTTGAATTATTTTACAATTTTTCTAAAGATATATAAAATTTCAATAGGCATACAATATTTCAATAGACATATATGATTTCAATAGACCTATAAGAATTCAATTAACATATATTATTTCAGTAAGGTGGAGATTTGTTCAACGCATGTTCAATATTATAAAATATATATCATTGTGAGTTAGTATGGCTAAGTCGTGTACTGAGGCACTGCGCGCCTCCATACACCACTTAGCGGTTTTGACACTTTACAAAACCGTTACCGTATATTTTACAACACAAACGACAACACTAACTTAACCTTAAATATTTACAAAGTCGCCAACCACTTCACCTCACTAATGTAAAAAATAAACGTTCTCACTTACAAAAGTATTGCAACTCCTCCCATTGCTGTGCTTCACATAACAGCTCATAATCTTCTGACTCACTTTCTTCTTCATATAGGTCAAAATCACTGTCAAAATAAATGTTAGTAAGTTTTGACAAAGCTAATGAAACACGTTTACCGTTTGTATCGTATGCTTGTATAAACTTTCCATTCTTCATTCCTTCATAAACGCTCAAACTAACTTTACCCTTTCTCCCTCGTATCTGATAGAATGTATTTTCACGAGGAACGAAGAACAAATTCTTGAACTCATGACCGTTGTAGTTTGTTATCTCAATAGTTTTCGTCATTTATATATAAAAATAAAATAAAAATAAAATAAAAAATAAACTTAAAAATTAATGATATCACCACCCTCACACGTATGAAAACATAGCACAAAAATAAATTTAGGTGAAGTGGTGAGATCTCACCTCTTTTTTCACCTGTTTTTTCACCCTGTTGAATTCATTGCTTTATAACTCTCTTAACTCTCTTCCTTTCTCCAACTCTTCTAGCTTCTTCTTAAGTTCAGCAATGTTGTCCTCATGAAGTTTAATCTTTCTCAAAATTCCTTCTTTATCTAATGGTTGCTTTTTTTCTAAACTGAACTCTACCCTCCTTCATAGTATGAATGTAAAAACCTTCTGGAATAGTTCCTAATTTAATGTATTCTACCAAAAACTTTGTTTTCATTGCTTCAGTGACTTTATTTGTCATCAATCAAATAAAAATTTTAATATTAAATAAAAAAACGTTATTTTTTCAGTAAGGAAACGCAGGAGTTTTACGATTTATTTGAGGAGTAGGTTCTGGTTTAAATGTTGGGTCGGTTTAGGAGTTGACTTTTGAACAGGAGTTTGTACTTCCATAGGTTCAGGAGTCATTGAAGGTTTTGCTTGTGAAGGTTTTGCTTGTGAAGGCGTTGGTTTTGGCGAAGGTGTTGGAGTTTGTTTAACTTCAGCTACTTCAGTATTATTTACAACATTTGCTTTATTTCTTTTCAACATCATAACTGCTACTGCTGTAGCTAGCAAACCTAGTGGGAGACCATATCTTATATAAGGACTTGACCAAATGCTATTTTTGACAGGAGCTGGTGGAACACCTAACCTTGGTGAGACTGCTCTTTGCCATTGTGCAGCTCGTAAGAAATATTCAATAGGTGCTCCATAATCGTTTGGTAAAGTTTGTTTCATAGATGGTGAAGGTTCACGAAGCTTGATGAAGAACTCATTTATAAGCTTTAAAAATAAACGTTCATCCTTTATTCCTCACCGTCGTCGCCGTAGCTAAGTTATAGTCATCTAATCTTATTATTGGGATTCCATTAGCACGCACCTGAATTGCAAAGCAACAATCCCTCATAAATCCAATAAGTGGCTTTGGTACATTTTCAGTTGCTAGTTCAATAGGTCCTTTAACAGACAATTTGTATGTTATTGGAGCAGTAGATGTTTGACCTTGCTGGAAGCAAAAGTCCACTTCTGTTGGAAAAACCACATAAGAAATGTGTGTTGTTCATAGCTATCCCATTTATGTTCCACACTACCATCATCCACCAATGACCTCATAACATCTTCATTAAATCCAATCATATCATTGTTTGTATTGCAAGCGTTCGCAACCATTTCATAAAATACAGGTCCATATGATTTTTCAGGTTCTGCAGGCATATTTCCATAAGCTCCCATGGGAAAGCTGAAGATATTTAAACTTAGGGTTCTCAAAATTAACATAATAGTTGTCTTTCTTTCTAAATAGTGCCCAAATACTTTTAACATTAATAGGCGTATAAGCTGCTGTAAATGTTGCACTTGAACTATCTGTATTCTTTGAGAATGAACCTCCATAGGAATCCAATCCATAACTTTAACAGGAAAACATAAAGCCTCGTTTGTATAATGTTCTACAAGTTCTGTATAAATGTTAGGGTCTAAAGAGAATGACTTTGGATGAATGAAACATTCATTAAAATCCATCTTTTGTTCGAAATAGTTGCTGGGTTACAGTTGTAATAGTAACTGTTCCACTAGCTTCTACTGCCTTCGTTATCATAGTGAATGGTTCATTCCATGGAACAAATTTATTTGTCGGTGGATTTGAATCTGAAGCAAATGCAACTTTAAGAGTTGGATTGAAAGCAATGATATCATTTACTGATATAGATGTGCATTGTAAGGCGTCGCTACTGAACTTTACTTTAAGCTGAATGTTTCCTGCAAAAGCTGGAATAAATCGAATAGCTTCTAATGGAAGGAATCTTCTAACAGGAATTCTTAAACGAAGCTTAAAATCAAATGATTTTCCTGCTGTAATTGGACCACTAACAATTTGTCTGTTCGCATGCTCCGAATGACTCCATACACTTCATGTCGAGTCTTTGAGAAAACATCTACTTTCTTATTTAGTTCGGTAGTTTTTGAGTTTGAAGTTATATATGCTTCTCTTGCGTTGTCTTGAGAATATACGATACGACCATTTGCAAGGATTTGATATCCAGCAACTGCATAGAAAGCGTCATCGAAACCAATCCAAAATCCTGGTGGGTTTGTTTTTATTGGAACCTGAACCAATCTCTTATCTACAATAAATTGACCTTCCATTTTATACGTAATGAATGCATTGTAAAGGTCCAACATATTTTCACCAGGAGGTGAGAGATTGAATGTTACCCATGCGTTATCTTTAGCAGTTCCAGGTTGTGATGGAATCTTTGCGTCAGAATATTTTCTATTAGTGTCACCAATTTGAACTGCATTGTCTATGATATCGAAATATGAGCGAATCTGATGAATATGCTCTGCTGGAGTAAATTCGTTTAGCTGTTCGTTCTGCATGTATTTACTTCAGATAAAAATATCTATTTACTTCATTATTCTCACTCTTCTTCTTGGCATTCGTGATGGAAGTTGTTTCTTGACATTTTCAATGAACTGTACATTCTCTTTTGTCTCAACTTCTTTCACTGGTGGGTCAGGGTTCTTTGACTCGGTTGTTTTTTCAATGAAATTCACGAACTTTGCAATAAGCTCTTGGTTCGTTATTGAAAGTACATCTGGCTTCTTTTCTTCTTGTTCTATTGACTTTTCAGTTTGAACAGAAGGTTTTATATGGGCTTCGTGGACTTCACCCTTGCCATACACCCTTAATGTTGTCGCTTTCTGCATTCGCTAATGGAACCTTTCTTTTTCTTACGTATATTTTACCATCTTTTACTCTGACTTACGTAATAGAAAGGATGTTGTATTCCTCTTGCGTCATTTAATATAATAGACTCTCGCTCTGATTTTGACAAGCTCATTTTCAATCGGTAAAGTTTTAATTTTGTTTTTTATTCTGCAGTCAAATGACTCAGACCAGCCCTACGGCAATGACCCAAGAGGGTCATAGATGTTGAAGCATTGAAGAAAGAAATCGTTGAGCAAATTTTATCCGAACTGAAGGAACAAAAACAAGAACAAAAGCCAGAGAGATCAAAGAGAAAACTTAGTGAAAAACAACTTGCTGCATTAGCTGCTGGAAGACAAAAGAACCCACGTTTTGCTGGCGAAGAAAGCTAGAGAAAAGCTGAAGCAAAAGTTAAAGAAGCTGAAGCAAAGAAAGAGTAAATGTTTATTTTTATCCGAATTAAATGTATAGACAAATACCTTTATCTGTTGCGTTCAGTAGTGAAAACCCTGACGTCAAAATAAAGGGGAACAGAGTAACGTTTAAGTTTCCAACAGACTGGATTGTGAACATAAATGAAGAGAAGTACATTGGCATAACAAATATGTATATAACACGTGCTTTCAGAAAGGTTGACTTTATACTTCAAGTCGAGATAGAAAATGACGAACAGTCTTTAAGCGCCCAAAACATTCACATATACAAATACTTCAATGACAGTACGACGTTAGAAGACTGTATAATTACATTTTACGAAAATTTTCAAAAGAAGTTTAACATTGAAGTACACACTTTACAGCCTTTACGTGATTTTCTTGCAGAACTGAAAGAAGAAGGAATTGTAGAAAGATTAATAGCTTTTCATTATGAATTTAATGAAAATGAAGATGGAACTCATGACTGTCAATTCATTGTATTCTCACCATTCAATGAAGTAGCTAAAAAGAAAAAAAATCCATTACGTATAAGATTTCAAATCTCTGAACCAAGTGATGATTTCAAGAATGTTTTCAATTATGATGCAATGCTTCCGAGGAAAAATGAATTTTCCGAAATTAGATTTCCAGGTATTTGGGATAGAAAGCAACTATATTATATTCAAACTTAAGTAAGGGAGTTGAAAATGAGTTCATTGGTCATACAAGAACTTCACCACTTCCTAACCCTAAATACTATAAATTAACTGGCCTTTCAATCGTACTCTGAATAAACCGAAACTTAACTTTCCCAGAAGTTCAAACACTTGCTGTTTAATGTATGTTGACCATATAACATTACAAGACCTCATAAAATATCAAGGTGTCAAATGTGAAGTGTTGCAAGGATACTATTTACGATGGAAACAGAGATATTAGAATAAGAGATGAAGTAAAGAAGTTGTTTGATTAAGGTTAAAGTATAAGAAAGAAGGAAATCCTTTGCAAGAAAATATAAAGCTCATTCTGAACAGTATTTATGGCAAAACTATTCTATCTCCTATTGAGTAAAAATAAACCATAGTAAATGACAAAGATGCTATAAGATATGCCATCATAAACTACAACCATATAGTGAAGTTCGAAGGTTTGGATGGTTCAGATAAAACTATTTTCAAGCTAACGAAAAGCATTTGCAGACACTTTAACTTCTGTCCACTTGGTGTTAACATTCTGTCTATGTCGAAGAGAATAATGTGTGAAGTATTTCTGTACTGCTGAGGACTTAAGAATGGACATCTTTTATAGCGATACGGACAGTATGCATCTCTTACAATGAAGATATCCCTCGTTTAGCTGAAGAGTTTGAGAAACGTTTATGAAGAGTTCTCATTGGTAAAAACCTTGGTCAATTTCATAGCGACTTTGCAGAAATCACAAAAGATAAACAAAGTTTAGCATACAAGTCAATATTTTGTGGAAAGAAGACTTACATAGACTTACTCACGAATGATTTAAATGAAGTTGCATTTCACTGCAGAATGAAAGGCGTGAAGCAAGATGTTATTGCTTTAACCGCTAATGAAATGTTTCCTGACTCTGTTCAGTGTTTCTATGATGAAGATAAAGGTTTAATGGTTCCGCAAGGAACATATGAACAAGACTCTGAGTTCAGTTTAATGAAACTTTACAAAGCACTTTATGACGGTCAAGAGATTGGATTTGACTTATGTAAGTCTTCTAGTCCTTGCTTTGCTGAAAAGTTTAACTTCTCAATAACGACTAAAACAAGCTTTATTCGTAAGTTGAAGTTCTGAGGTCATTTATTTTTGTCAGCAATGAGGTCATTCATGATAAAATAAGCCGCTAGCGGCAAGGGCGAAGCCCATGTGGGTCATTTACAATACTGCGATGGTAGAGTTTAAGAGTTGTGCTTCAATGTAGAGACAGTCCTTATGGTCTGGAGGTAGCAAAACAGGTGCTTTATGGTCATTGAGTGGAGAACATGTCTAATTCCAAAACTC